TGGGATCTGCTTTAGAGTACCTTCAGCATATTAGCATTGGAAAGAGTATAATAAAAGCTTAGAAAAATTATCCTTGAGAAAAGTTAGTAATTTGTAAACCATTAAGCCTTAAAATTTACATCTGTAAAGAAGGAACAAAAAATTATTTCAATAACAGATCTTCTGGAAAATAAAATTATATAGATTTTGTTTATTAAACTAAATTAAAATGATAAGCAAAAATAAACTGAGGTAAAATGATTAAAACATTTTAAGTTATAGAAACAGAAGGAAAAATTCTGTAATGAAAATTGTTGCCTTGAGCCCTGGCTGGATTCCTCAGCTGGTTAAAGAGTTGTCCCAAACACCGAAAGGTTGCAGATTTGATTCCCAATCAGGGCAAATGCCTAGGTTGTGAGTTTGATCCCAGGTCAGAGAGCTTATGGGGGCAGGAGGGGACAACAAACAGATTGCTGTTTCTCTCTCACATTGGTGTCTGTCTCTCTGCTTCCTCTTTGTTAACATATCTTTGGGTGAGGAATTGAAAAAAAAAAAGAAAGAAAAGAAAACTGTTGCATTGAAATTAAAATCAGCAGTACTGTGAGAACTGGACCCAGGTTTTGATCAGGCAGCAAAGGTTTGTGGTGGACATTTCACAAGGATAAATGTAGATGAAATGCCATACAAAATGGCTTATTAAATATTTTAAAACACTAGTACTAATTAGCAGCACACAATTTCTATATAAACTTCTTTAGCTTATTAACATCTTCACTGCATTTATAAAATTAAAATATTAAGATAATTCATTATAAACAAAGAGAAGTGCTTAATCAATATTTAATCAGTGAATAAAATATGAAAAATTACACAAAATAAATGCATTTCTCTTTTAAAAATAATTTTATAGCCCTGGTTCGTGTGGCTCAGAGAACTGAATGCCAGCCTGCGATCCAAAGGGTTGTCAGTTTGATTCCCAGTCAGGGCACATGCCTGGGCGGTGGGCCAGGTTCTCAGTAGGGGGCATGTGAGAGGCAACCACACACTGATTTTTCTCTCCCTCTCTTTCTCCTTCCCTTCCCCTCTCTAAAAAATAAAATCTTTAAAAACAAAAAGATAATAATTTTATAGCAAAATTCTTAATATAAATAATATACTTAATTTTAGCTAATATTTATATGACACAAATATTGCATGCTATAATATACTGTATACAAGTATATATAGTACTTAAAATTCCTATTTACATATGCTATTATAATTTTTCATATCAGAAAAATTGTGTATTTTCATTTCCTAGAACACAATTATGTCACATAATAATTTTGTACTTTTTTTCATTGATAGTAGTTTTTCTTCTAAATACATACGATCAAAAACAGTCACGAATACAGAAAACATTCCCTTAGGTTTATATTTTATATTTTAATTTTCTGAAATTGATCCTCATTTTATAGTTCTAAAGAATCTCTTCCAATATTGACATCTGAAGGTTTACAAAAATAACCAGAGACATCTGCATTTTATATTCAAGACTAATATCAGTTACTCTTTTATAGCAAACATGCTGTCATTTTTGATATGAGGGATAGAAAATAAACAGGAATACAGACAGAGATAGGTTTGAAGCTCCCTATTCCACCTCCAAGCTATTGCTCCCCAGCCCCTAAGATTCGGAAGACTGAAAAAAAAAAATCCTCCAGGCAAAACTGGTAAAGAAAACTCAAGCCTGGTCTATATATCCAATTAATGTATTAGATTGGCCAAAAAGTTCATTTAGTTTTTTCCATATGGTGGCTCTAGTTGTGCTTAGTTGTCTTTAGCTTCATTTCAAAAAAAATTTGTTAGTCTGCATTGTGACAACTGTCTTTATTAGCATGCATTTAAAAACAAAAACTCATCAAAACTGGTGAATTTCTGTGCAGTCATTTTAATACAGAAGAGGGAATAATATGCATGTTTTCAGCATCTAATCCTTCATTATTTTAAGAAAGGTAAAAATGCAACTGAAATGCCAGAGAAGATTTGTGCAGTGAATGGAGAATGTGCCATGACTGACTGAAAGTGTCAAAAGTGGTTTGCAAAGTTTCTTGGTCCTACTGACATTCTGTCCAAATAACTCTTTGCTGTGGGGCTGTCTTATGCATTGGAAGGTGTTTAGCGACACCCCTGGCCTCTACCCAATAGAAGCCAATAGCAGGAGATGGCCGACAGACTCAAAATATCCAAATCAATAAAGTTATTGGTGACAATGGGCCTTGCAGATGCCACTGCTGCCCCGGATCTTCCATAGACCAGCCACGGTTAACCCCACTGTGTTCTTTGGCATCGTTGTCAACAGTGAGCCCTTGGGCCATGTCTCCTTGGAGCTTTTTTCAGACAAAGTTCCAAGAACAGCAGAAAACTTTTGTGCTCTGAGCACTGGGGAGAAAGGATTTGGTTTTAAAGGTTCATTCTTGCCTTCACAGAGTTATTCCAGGATTTCTATTTATAAAATACCTTTTAAGTCAATACCATGTACGAAGAGCAAATAGATAAAGTCATTTAGAGTTGAGTCTAATGTGGATGCCCACTCCCATAAATATTTCCCATTAATTACTATTATTTTAGAAACACCAAATTATTTCATCTTAATCATGGGCTTTGAAATCAGAAAGCCTTTTGTTTAAAACACTTTTGCATTTAAATTGCTGGGTGATGTGGCGAGTGGCTTAACCTCTCTGAGCCTTAATTTCTTATATGCGTAGAAAGTCTATCATGACTACATTTATTAAGCAAGTATTTAACAAGTGACTTTCTAATAAGCAGTCATATAAAATTCTTTAAATAAAATAAGAAACTTTGAAAAAATTAACTTTTAGAATGCAAATATTTCTTGATATTACTCAGTAAATTCATTTATATTAAAGTGGAATATATATTAATGAGAATTAAAATAGCCCCAAAACTTCCAGACAAGATGGCAGCATAGGTAAACATAGCATTCAATTTCTCCCCTAATCAAATCAAAATTACAACTAAACTACTGAACAAACATCTTTCAGAACCACCTGAAACCTGGCTGAATGAAAGTCCTGCAACTAGGGAATTAAAGAAGCCACATCAATATTGGTAGGAGGGGCAGAGGCATGGAACAGACCGATCTCGCACCCACATGTGACAGATAAAAACTGGAAAAGGACGTCACCACTGTAGAAGTGCCCCCCGCCCAGCAGAGCAAAGAGGCCCTGCCACATGCCAAGCCTCTCATTCCAGGGTTCCAGTCCCAGGATGAGAAGTCCCCGTAACTTCGGGCTATAAAAAGCAGTGGGGATTGAGGCTGAGGAAGACAGTCTTCTGGTGTCTTAGGCAGTTCCTTTTAAAGGACCCATGCATGGACTCACTCCCTCTGAGCTCCAGCACTGAGGCAGCAGCTTGAAAGGCACCAGGGTCATACAGGGAGGAGCTGGATTGTCCAACATCAGGGCAAAAGACGGAGGGGCAGCTTACTCCCAGACAGAGGTGTTGGCAGAGGCCATTATTCCATTTCCAAGTCCTCCCTTGCACAAAATGAGCAGGAAGGCACCATAACTGAGTCTCCATCAACCTGGCTCACACTGTTTTGCCCCACCCTGTTGATTCCCTTAGGCCCTGCTCCACCCAACTTTTGGGACCACCCAAGCTATTTCCAGTAGTGTTTCCATACAAATGACCAGTCTTGGTTCATGCTTCAGATTTTCCTAAAATCTCTCAAACAAGCAGTATCTGGCCTCAGTGTGCCCCATACTTCTCGTTAAGTGGCCCCAGGACTGGCACTAGTAGCAGCTGGCCTTAGTTAACAGCTTGGCCTTGTTTGGGCACTTCTAAGGCCAGCACAAGTAGCAGCCATCTGCAGATAGCTTTGTGGCTCATGCTGGGTGGTCTAGGGCAGAGAAAAAGTGGCAGCTGACCTTGGTCAGCATATCCTGGGAGGCCCAAGAGCCAGTGTACCCAGTGGGCAGCTTAAGACCATGTCAAAGACTACCACGCAACCACCACCATAGATGATACACTCAGTGGGAACCAGAGCCTCGCTGAAACAAATCCTCCTCAGGGCAGGTGGGCCCTTGCACAGCTCATCCTCTACCATGGTCAGAGGTCACTGGTCACAGCCAGTCCTTACAGCTGACTGACCTGGGAGTAAATCCCTCCCACTGACATGACAACAGCAATCAAGGTTAATCTACAATAGGATGTAATACACAGCCCACATGAGGAGTGTACCACAAATGCCTAGCTTGAGTGACGGGGAGGCTGTGCCACTGGACTCTATAGAACACCTACTACACTAGGCCACACTACCAATCCTGGGAGATATAGCAGCTCTTCTTAATTCATAGAAACAAACACAGGGAGGATGCCAGAATGAGGAGACAAAGAAACATGCCCCAAATGTAAGAAGAGAACAAAACTCCAGAAAAAGAACTAAACAAAATGGAGACACACAATCTACTACATGCAGAGTTTAAAACCCTGCTTATAAGGATGCTCAATGAAATCAGTGAGAACCTCAATAGCATAAAAAAGAACAAGTCAAAAATTAAGGATACCCAAACTGAGATGAAGAATTATTTACAAGGGATCAACAGTAAAGAAGGTGAAGCCAAGAATCATTCAGAGATTTGGAATACAAGGAAGCAAAAACATCCATTCAGAACAGCAAAAAGAAAAAAATAATCCCCCCAAAAATGAGGATAGTATAAGGAACCTCTGTACAACTTCAAGCATACTAATATTTGCATTACGGGGGTGCAGGAAGGCGGAGAGGGAGAGCAAAAATAGAAACTATTTGACAAAATGACAGAAAACTGCCCTACCTTGGTGATGGAAATAGACATACAAGTCCAGGAAGCAAAGAGAGTCCCAATCAAGATGAATTCAAAGCGGCCCACAACAAGACACATCATATTTAAAATGCAAAAGAATAAAGACAAAGGGAGAATCTTAAAAACAGTAAGGGAAAGCAGTTACCTACAAGGGAGCACCCATAGATATGTCAGCTGATCGCTTCTTGGGCTTTTGGATAAGATCATGTATAGGACCTGTTCTTATCAGCTGAATATCTGATTCATCTGCTATCCAAGGACAATATAGTGAATAGATTTTTGGAATTAGAAAATGAAATAGGAGCTTTCTTGGTCCTTTCCACACATTAACCTAGTATTGCTATATTTCCAGGATTGATGCACCAAAAGACTGTCAGCTGATTTCTTAATAGAACTTTGCAGGCCACTGCAAGAAATATTCAGAGTGATGAAAACAAGGACCTATTATAACCAAGATTACTCTACCCAGAAAAGGTATCATTTAGAATCAAAGGCCATATAAAGATCTTCCCAGATAAGAAAAAGCTAAAGGAATTTTCACCACTGTATAGCACATGAAATGTTAAAGGATCTCATTCAAGAAGAAAAACATTTTTAAAAGATAACAAATATGAACAATAAAATGACAATACATACATAGCTATCAACAATTGAAACTAAGAAACAAAATAGATGAACAAGCAGAACAGAAACAGACTCATACATACCGAGAACATTCTGACAATTGCCCGATGGGAGGTGGTTTTGGGGAAGGGTGAAAAAGGTGAAGGGATTAAGAAGTATAAATTGGTTGTTACAGAGTAGTCATGGGGATGTAAAGTACAGCATAGGAAATACACTCAGTAATACTGTAATAACTATATATGTCATAGGGTATGAGATTTACTGGGATGATCGCTTAATAAGGTATACAATGTCTAATCACTGGAGTGTACACCTAAAACTAATAAAATGATATATGTTAACTGTATTTTGAAAAATAAAAATTATTTGAAAATAGAAAAAAATTAAATAGCCCCTTTTTAATTTGCTTAATTCACTCATGGTGAGTCAATAATATGATGCCAGTAATAACACCTTCTTAACATTGAACAGTACACTGCAAATTATCATATGCATGATATTATGATACCATTGGTCATTCCATTTACATCAGTGGTTCCCAAATATGGCTGCACATAGAATCGCCTGGGAAGCATTTTAGACATGCAATACCTTAGTCTCAACACAAGAGATCCTGACTTAATTGTTCTGGGGTAGAATTTCTTATTAAAGTTTCTCAGGTGATTCTAATGTGTACTTATATTTGAGAACTACTCATTTAGATTCTCAAAAAAGCCTGATTTGTTCAAGTAATTTTTCTTTGACCCTGTTCTTAAAGACTTCACAGGAAAATAAGAGACAATGGACTAGAATATTGTGACTTCTTAAAGAAAGGCAGAATATCATAGCAGTTAATAAAAAGAACTCTAGATCCATATTCCTCGGAGTGAATTCTAGTTCTATAACTAACTAGCAGTGTGATCTTGGGAGAGTTAAAGTCTATATATCTCAATTTTATCATCTGTTAATGGTCATAATAACACCTGTAGCACTAACATATTAGTATCCAATGAGTAAATGCAGGTTCAACACTTAAAATAATAGCTAGCAAACAGTAGTAAGTGCACTATCAGTGTTCGCTAAAATTTAGGATGTGCAATAATTATTTTTGTAACCAAAAGACAGGAGGATCCATGTTCAAATATATATTTTTCTTCTACTTTGGGCTAGTTATAGGATAAAAAGTAGTGATCATTTAATCACTAGAATTCTACTGAACATATGCATATAGACTGTATAGTAATATAAAATCAATAGTAAGACAATCAAGTTGAAAAAATTTCTCCAATGAGTGGCCCTGGTATTTGTGTAAATAAAAGTTACTCAAAATATTTTGCATTTCATAATGCACTAAGTATGGCAAATGAAAATACATCTTTATAAAGGATTTTTACACTTAAAATTGCTAAATTATAGAACTACAGAGGTAAGTTACTCAAGAATTTATTTCTTTACAAATATATTGATATTAGAAAAAAGGACACTGAATTTTAAACAAAAGTAATTGTGAAGTATGACTTATTCAAACATACTTCTCCCTTTACTGATAAATCAATAAATCAGAGGAAGAATGACATGATTGTCTTGCCAAAATATACATTAGGTCGATATAAAATCAGAGAAATATAGTTGCTGGTATGCATTTTTAATTCCTGGTGACTTAAAAAAGTATAAAAATAATTAAACCTGCATGTTACAAGGCTATATGAAAGCTCTTTTTTCTAATAATAAAATTCTTCAATATATAATTTTGTACTCACCCGTTTAGATCGCAATTCACTGGTCAAAGAACTAGATTCTTCAGAGGTATTTTTATTCCCTGCTTTAAGTACATCAGGAGAAGGAACTATGAGTTTCGTGTAAGTTTCCTTTTTGGCTTGATTTACCAAAGATAAAGGTTTCACATTGGACACCAATCCCGTAGACTGTATTACACTTGTGTGTTTGTTCACAGATTCCTCCTTTGCCTGAGAGCTTTGGAAAATAAATGGAAGCTGCTGTGACAAAACCTGAGGCTGCTTCTGCTGGGATTGGAATGATGAGTGAGTCTGGGATTCAGACACAAGAGGTAATGGCTGGTGTATTCTTTTTTCCTGGGCTTTTTCAGTTGCTTTCTGTCCATCTACTTTTGGGTCTGAAATACCATGTAATAGCACCTATAAATAAAAGTTAAAAAGGCAAAAGTTTAACATCTATTAAAACAAAGAACACCAAACAGGAAAAAAGGAACTTTAAAGTTTTCCTACTGACTTATGATGGATATTTAAAGCTCAGGAGATGTACACTAAATGTCTTTTTAAAAATGTTTCTCCACCTCATATTCCTTCTTTTGCAAAAGTAAGAACTAAAGGCAATAATTAAATTTAAACTTTATAGACTTTGAGGGTCAGGATAAACAAGTTAATCCAAAAATATGAATAATGTGTGGATATTGCCAAGGGAACTATTTATACCTGGTTGTTACTTTTATGTTGTGCTTCATTCTCTGAACCAGAATCATCATCTTCACTTTCTTCAATACTTTGATCTTCCTCTTCTTCTTCATCTTCCTCTAGATCATCTGAATCACTACTACTAATGCCTTCACTTGAAGTGTCTGATGATGTGCCCGAATCACTATCACTGTTGCTAGAACTTTCTATAGCTTCCTTCCTTGGTTTCTGGATAAAGACAAGATTTTTAGCAAGACTTTATTTTTGGAAAAAATTCAAGTTTCACTAAGAGGTAGGCTCTTTTAATTTTCAAATGATATTTTCAATCTCAAAAATGTCACTTTAGGAAATAAGGGAAAGTCAGATGTTACAAGGGTAATTATTCAACAAACTAATCAAATTAACCTATGTAACAGGAAGTGTCCAATGAAATATATAAGCTGTGACATGAAGAGAGTACTGGAAACCTCAATATATTACAAAATACAAAGAGTAATTTATAGAATAATTCTAATTATAAGGGTTACACACATTGAAGTTCTATATTTAGCTTTAGTTTTCTTTCCTTATGCAGATAGTGAGTCAGTAACCAAATATTTATAATACATATAGCATGCCAAATACACCTTTCTTGGTGCTGGACTACTATGATGCCTAAGATAGAGATTTTGCTTTTAAAAAGATTATACTCTAGTGGTGTTAGTGGTGGTGGTGGTAGAGGAGACAGGTGATTAATGTAAGTAAATAATTCCATATAGTAGTAAGTGCTACAGAGAAGACAGGTAGCCATGGACTTAGGGGCTGCTTTAATTAAAGTCAAATATTTAATTTTTTTATATTTCACAGCAAAAAGAAAAATATGATAAAGAGAGATAGGTTAATTTTTGGAACATTTAAGATTCTATAGGAAAAAGGAAATCCAAAGCTGGTAGAAAGAGACATTAGGTCACATAGAAGGAAAATTTGGGGTTTAAAGAATAGACAATAGCATTGGACAAAAACAGGAAAAATCATGAGACGAATTATAACTAAATACCTATATAACAATGGAAAAGTTAAAATTCTGACAATAGGAAGACTTACAGGAGAAATACTGAAATGACAGAGTAGTAAGGTTTGGTACAATCCAAACTTACTTGGTTGCTGACAGATAAAATTAGAAACAAAACTTAGAAAACGTAATAAATTATAAAAACCATGAATAATGAAAGCTATGGTCTTAATGGATAGGGCTTTGCATGATTGCTGGACTTGGGGAATGAGCGACAATAACATCTCTCTTCAACAGGAAGCCAGGTTTAAGCCATAGTTACAGATTGCAAACCTATACTTTTTCTTTTGTACCTTCTGAAATTTGATTCAAATTAAATATAAGTTAGGAGAGTCACTACTATTGTTTTATTCTGCTTTTAATGGCACTGTGTTAACTGCTCCAAACCAGCAACTATAATGTCTCCTCCAAAGACACACCACCTTCATTCAATAAGCCAATAGTGACTATCATTCCCTGGGCTGTGTTCTCTCACAATAAAACAAAAGGTGATGAGGAACCAAGTAGAAATTAAAGGGAAACAAAAATAATATAGTAATATTAAACCTACCATTTGTTAAAGGAGTATCTCCTTCCTTGCAAACAAAATCTGGTGTGCGTTTTTTAAGCACCTATAGCAAGACTTATGAAAATCTTAAGGAATCTAAACTGAAATTATCATTTCTGGTTTCAGTAGGGGCTAGCTACCAATGGAAAGAAATGGGAAAACTATAGTGATTTAACAGGGAGAAATAAACTCCTATTCCAATGCCCAAGTAATCTGTGTAGTTTTTTATTTGAAGACAGCATGAGAAATGGGGCTTACACTTCTCAATATGGGGTTTGAAAGTGCGGATCCTAAAGCTTTACAGTGCATGGTATTCACCTGCAAAACTTGCTGCAACCAGCATATTCCTGGGTCCCAATTACAAACAGCACACAGGGATCTGCATTAACAAGTCCTTAATATGATTCTGATGCAGGCAGTTTTGTGTAGCATACTCTGACAGTGTGCAGTCTGTGCTTTTATGAAGTAACAAATTTAATTCTTTTTTAAAAATCCTCACCTGAGGAAATGTTTTATAAATTTTAGGGAGGGAGGGAAGGTAGAGGGGGAAAGAGAGAAAGGGTGATAGATATCTACTGGCTGCCTCCCATATGTGCCCCGCCTGGGGATCAAACCCGCAGCCTAGGTACGTGCCTTGACCAGGGCACAAACCCACAACCTTTTTGTGTATACAGTGACACTTCAACTAACTGGGCAGCCCAACCAGGGCAAAATAACAAATTTAAAACCCATCAA